CTTTCCTCCCCCGTGCTGACGACGCATTTTTCACCCTGCCTCACACATTTTCCCCGAAGTCTGCTCACCTCTCCGTCGCGAATCGACAAGTTGCTCAAATCTGACGTGGTTAATTTGCCTGTAGAGATGGCCTCGACGCTATGTTCCTATGCCACTGCTCTTACCAGTGACTTTTTTATTCCTACTCGTTCTCCTCTTTTAGGTTCAGAGGCTGTTTTTGGTATTGGTAAGTCTTGCAATGTTCCACAATCTTTCCACGAGGCTCTTGAAGGCGGTGGTGATCACACTTTCATTAAAGGCTTGGTAAAAAAATGGTAAACCTGCTCTTTTTCTCACTAAGCTTGAAACCAGCACTTTTGTGTCTTCTTGGTATTTTGTTGTAGTGGAGAAATTCTTTTATGGTCACCCAAAACTTGAGATCATTCGGAAAGATTTTGATACTATGAAACTATTGAACAGTTGAAATATTGGTTTACTTGATGGCCGACATATACTTATTCAGTTATCTCACGTTGCAAATTCCACTCGTATTTTTTCTCGTAAAGTTATTAAGATCGACAATTGTTTTATGAAAATCCTAAAGTGGACTGTCAATTTTGATGGAAAAGCAAAGTCCCATATCATTTTTGTTTGAATAAAGTTTCCGGAGTTAAAATTATATCTGTCAAACTTAGAAATTCTCTACTCTTTAACAACTGCTTACGGTAAACCTCTTAAGGTTGATAGTCATACGCTTGCAATCACCAGACTCTCTATGGTTTGTGTGTTAGTTGAGAGAGATATCACTCAACCAGCTCCAGATGAGATAATGGATTGAAACCACTTACAACAGGTATTGACAAAATGTTGAAATAGAGCCACACCCTCCTTATTGCTCTCATTGTAGTATGTTTGACAACAGTTCTACTATATGTCGCTTGCATCCTCATCTAAGGTTGAATATCGCTAAATATCAGTCATCTACCATACCTGCTAAGAAGGTGCAACCCGATCCACTTTCCAACACCGTAGTTATAAAAAACACCATACCTAAGCCGTTCTACCTCTGGATGCTTCTGCTTTTAAACACCCTATTCCAGCTACTGGTTTGGAGCATGGTACTTTGGAGTCTCATGAAACGTCTCTCCATACTACAAATCCAAATGTGTTTATACCATTCACTGTTGTTCAAGAAGACTCACTTACATGCCAAGACACATGAGAGTGTTCCTTTGATCCAATAAAAGATCAGCTGGTACAACAAGTAGTTGCTACAAATGTTCAACAACCTACACATGTCCGACACACTTTAGACCAATCCACTGATCAGGTGAGTCAGTCTTTGGATGATGAATGATAGGTCTATTCCAAGAGGAAGAAGAATGGAGGCCAACTTGAGCTCAGGAACTTATTGGATGATACATTGGTTACTACTAGCAATGACACTCACCTTACCAATTTTGTTAGCTGACTCCTTTCCTAGAACTAGAGGCACAGGCAAGACAAAATTGAGTCGCTCTCAAGCTACCTGATACTACATGTTTTGGTGTTTTTTGGTTTTTTTTTTTAACCATTTGCATGTGGAGGTTATCTTGTGGGTAGGGTGTCATTGAGCTCTCTCTCTCTCTCTCTCTCTCTCTCTCTCTCTATATATATATATATATATATATATATATATGGAAGATTTACATACATACCGTACAATTTTTATGTATTTCCACAGTGGGCGTAAAATGAAAAAAAAAAAAAGTTACAGGTGATGAATATGTAAATACGTAAGAATTGTATGGTATGTTTGTAAATGCGCATGGAATAAATTTAGGGTCAAAAGCCTTCTAAAGAAGTGATTGCATTAAGAATAGGTAATGTAGAATTAGTTAATATAGATTCTTCTTCCCTTTAATGATAACAAATTCTAAATTTTTGGATATATGTATAAACATAAAGGGGGGCATTTACATACACGCCACTCATTTCTTATATATTTATACGTGCAACACCTAAAACTTTCTTATTTACATACATAACACTGAATTTTTTGAAACCATATCAAAAAAATGAAATACACATTTTCATGGCTAGATTTTTAATGGCAACAACAACAACAACAAGCCTTAATCTCACTACGTGGATTTGACTACATGATTTTTAATACCAATGTATTCAAAAATATAAATATTAAACTTTAAAATGTTAAATATATAAATGCATAAGGATTATATGGTATGCATGTAAATTTCCCAACATCAAATAACAGATCAATTATAAACACATAAAAATCGTAGCTAGAGATGAGTCAGTTTAGTTCTGCCTCTTCCTCTGGTTTTAGGAGTGGAGCCATATAACAAACTTTGAAGAGTCGTGTCATTGACAGGAGTAACCAAAGTATCATCCATTAAGTTTCCAAGTTGGAGTGTGCACCCAGCCTTGTTCTTACGCCGAGAAGTGTAAATCTGTCATTCTTCATCTGAAAACTGACTCATGTGATCATCGGTCTGATTTGATGTTAGAATAACAGTAGTAGAGACAATCGTTGCTACCGCGATTGGTTCCAGTGTATGTGAAGTGTGAATTGTTTCCTCTACACCTGATGCTTCCTGATCTGCGGGACTATCCTGATTTTCGGTTCAAACATTGTCAATTGTAATATGGTCAGGAGAAGGGATCCTAGGGGCAGACACCAACTCTTGTCTTGTGGTTATTCCCTCATCAGGTTTGTTGGGAGTGCGATCAAGCACATGGGATGCACTAATAGTGTGTTACTGCTTTTGACTATTGGTTCCCAACTATGGGTGCAATCTGAAACATTTCTCCTGCTGGTGTCCAAACATCTTGCAGTGTTTGCAGTAGTAAGGTTTTAGTTCCATAATGATTTTTTAATAACCATTGTGAGCAGATCCAAGCCAGACTTCTACATCTGGTAGTGTAATATCTCGAAATCCTTGCAATAGAGGGTCTTGAAAAATAAAATATAGGTAAGTCTACCTGCAAATGTTTTCCAAGGATAGCCCCAATTGCATATAAAATAAGTAGGTCAAAGAAATGAAGTTTTAATTCAGGTAATGAGAATCAAATAGGTGCAATTGGGGGTTCTTGACTGAGATCAAAATTAGGGATCCATTTGAGCAATTTCATATGTTTGTCCTTAATTGTGATGAATTTTTTTGAGAAAATTCTCGTGTAAACATCTTCTATGCTCAGTTGTATCATAACATGCATTCCGCTGAAATAACCCACCTGTCAATCCCCAACCAGTTTGAAATTTTCAAAAACCTTCCTGATGATCTCCATCTTAGGGCAACTTAATTGGAACTTTCCAACTAATGTAAATTTGTATTTTCATGCAAGAGTTGAAATTTCAGCTTCATAGAAGAAAATTGTTGGTTTGCCCACCATTTTCTCCACTTTTTTTATGAGATTGCAGTCGTCATTTCCTGAAACATAATCATGATATATCTGCGGGAATACCGCACTATCTGTGAGGTGGAAATGGGAGCTGCATTTGTGAAAAACTGTAGCATAGGAGGGTTTGGAGGGATTATCACCGGCTACGGCGACAACATAGGAAAACCCTGGGCCATTAGTGTGTTTCACACAAGCACTACAACAAATGGCGATACACAAGCAGTTGAGCAGTCGAGCAGAAAATGTGGGAGAGCAGTCGAGCAGAAAATGTGGGAGAGCAATCGAGCTGTCTTGAAAAACTTGCAGCGCGCGCAGACGCTAGCAACAAACGACGCAGATGACGCAGCAGACCAGTCTCAATGACACAACGACGCAGCAGGAAAGCAGGCTCGACGACGCGAACACCTCTGTCAGCCAGAGCCGAAGACGAAGACGGGAAGGATCGAAACGAGCAAGCGAAAACATACGTCTATTTCGTTTCGAGCTAGGGTTTGCCTTCAGCGGAAACCCTAGCAGAGCGAAAGAGACCCATTGCGGTTTTCATACATACATATATATATATATATATATATAT